CACACACACACACACTGGATAGGGAGTGAGGTTGAGAGATTTACTTATTGGCCTCTGAACCATGATTTTTTTCCTCAGTCTTACAGAGCCTGAATTTTGTTTCACATATAAAGAAACAATCATTCTGATAAAGAGCATAATGCAGTACAATGCTGATTTTAAAAATCACAGAATCTATTAAAAATCCATTTAAATCATGTACTCACTGCTTCAAAAATATAACTAAGAAATAAAAAAGTGCTACTGATTGCAAGCTGTGAACTTCAACTAACGTCATAAATCCCAATTTTTAGTAACTCTATGCTAACTGAGGTATGTAATATCATTGGTTCCAAATGGGATCTTAGGAAAACATCAAGGGTTAAAGAACAAGTTTATTTAATATTTAGTGCTTGGAAACCAGCCCAGGGAACGGTGCAGCGTCCTCTTCTTGGTGAATGTTATCTGTGGAGAACCTTGTGGGGCCTCATCATGACCAGACCAGGGAGAACTCCACGTTATCTCCCATGGACTTCAGGGCTCTTACTGATCTCACAGAACACTCACCCGCTTCTCTCTTATAAAGGATATCTTACTCCTCATATTAACATGTACTCTTCACGTCATGTATTACAAAACTATGCAGAAAGCCATTTGATGGTTTACTACATGTATATCAGGAGCTATTCATATAAACGAAAATATTCAAATAGCTTAGTAGCTGTAAATTAAACCATTTTGCAGGCCATTTGGTAGAAGTCATATTCATTTAATCTACCACTAAATACTACCTATAGAAACCAAGGTTATTAAGATATATATGTATAAAAATATTTTAGAATATAACACTAAGCTAAACTATACTTAAAAATATTTAAGAGCTGGGAATGTAGCTCAGGAGTACAGCGCTTGCCTAGAACCCCCAGAGGGTTCCATCCTCAGTACCAAAAAAGAATTATACCTGAGCAATGATTTGTTCTCCATCATTGTATACTTTGGTGCCTATCACATCTACTACTTTCAGGCGTTCAGAAACCTACCAAAAGAAAAAAAAAAAGACAGCATTAAGTAGATACACAATAATTTGGTAATCTTACTGGTTATACAGGTTGAAAAGTGGTAGCCTATAGCAAAATCATCATGCAGCAGTGTGTAGACTGTATGTGTTTGTTACATTACTGCCAGGATCTTAAAATACACAAATTTGTATTTCTAGCCATTCTTGAAAAATTAGAAGATTTAGCCACTCTCAGCTCAAATTTCTACATGACAACAATAAAACTATGGTGGAATAGCAGCTGCTTCTCTAGCGGGAGCACATGTTCTCCAATTCACCAGAGTCCCTCCTGGCTTGGTTTTCTTCTTCATGTTACTGGCCTAGCTCTGAAGGCATTGGATTTCCACCCAATCCACTTCTATTTAAAGAGCTAAGCTGCTGGAGGAGATCAGCTGCCTAACATGCATTCTGTAGTGCAGCCAAAACGCTACCAGGCGTGACCTAACAATCCAACAGACATTAAAAAGGAGAAACATGGCTATGCAGAAACACGTAGTAGGTACAAAGAACTGCCCCTCTTTAACGACTAAAATATTTCAAACATGAAACTAAAATATGTATAAATTCATTAACAGTGATGTATAGAAAGAAAGTAAAGCTGACTTTTTAGGCTAACGAGTTTCTACTTTCAGAGATAAAAACATAAGCAGGAAGTCTCACTCACGAGACATCTGGGCCAAGAAATGCAGGTGATGAGGGAATGAGCCACAGGCTGTGTAGGAGGACACTGCACACAGATGGCATGATGCGGGCCCCGAAATAGGTGAGGGCCGCGGGTGTGAGCAACAGCAGGAAGCCGTGTGTCTAGGACAAGATGATGAGAGGGAGCAGTGGAAAACAGGATCACAGCCATCGAGTGCTGGGCAGAGAGGCTTGCACAGAGGACTCCACGACCCGGGCCGAGGAGCATTATGCACACAACAATTACAAGCCAGGACCACAGCCCAGACAGGAGATAACAGGGGTGAAGTTGGTGGGAAAGGACCAGGTTCGGAATATATTCTAAAAATAGGGCAGCTAAGGTCACTATCAGGTTGGTCATGGGTGGGGAACACAGAGGGGTAAGAGCAAACCCCAAGGGCCTCCCTAAGACACCAAAAGGATGGTGTTGCCAGCCACTGGGATGGCAGGGAAAAGGAGATCAGGGAGGTGGCAGGTCTGAGACGTCTGTTAAGACACCTGGTGGGAGATGTTAAATAACCAGGTGGCAGCAATGTCAACTTTAAAAGGTATCAGCGTATACACAGTATGCCAAACCACGGGATATGAAACATTCACCTTAACTTGAGAGGCAATGAGAGCAAGGGTAGGACCTGAGACATTCGTTTTAAGGGGGAAAGGAAAAGGGGAATAAACAAGAAGTGAAAACAATCAGTATTTAGATAACTCCTCCCTTGAAGCTTCAACTAGTGGATCTTGCCAACATTGATCTGATCAAATCTGATATTAGCTAAAGATCACATATAAAATTTGTTATAGACGCTGGCTAGGATCCTGCTCCTTATAAATAACAAAACAAATGCAGTTATAGGCAGTAAAAAAAAAATACTGAATTATAAAACCAAACATCACCATTTGGTGCTTTCCAATAGATTTTCATTCAAAGAAATTTTTCTGTAGAACTATTTCTAACAAAACAGAAGTTCTGAAGCAGAGTAAAAGCATATACTTACCTCCAAAGATTTAAGGAACGGCAGTGACTCAATAAAGCTTTCATACATTTTTCTTTTTTTGGCATTGTTTTTTACAATTATTCTCCTGAAGGTTACCCTGTCCTAGAAGTAGAATATAAAAAACGAAGAGTTAAAATGTAAATTCATGGAGGAAAAAATTCTGAATATTTTATTCCCTACAAGAAACAATAACTGAAGTTTTCAACATAAAAGATTAACATCATTATACTTTCAAATCAACTCAGTTCAGATTCTTCTTTCTTCAGGTACAAAATGTTACTGCAGAACCTGATAAAATAATTTCATTTTCTTATAAAGGAAGCATTAATTTACTTGTATGTATTTCTAACAAAATGTGACCAACACGTTTGGCTATAACCACAAGGAGGCGCTGTCACGCCACTGTAAAAAACAGGGCTGTGTTCTTTTACTGGGGATGGCAGCCATAAGGGTTGCAGCAGGAAATAGGTGGAAAGCGACCAGCATTTTTGTGGGGGTGGTACCGGGGATAGAACTCATGACCATGCGCCACTGAGCTAAATCCCCGGCCCAACGACCAGCGTTTTTATAAAAAGTAAACTGAAAGTCTTGAGTGACTTCTTCAGAGAAGACACATAAATACATGTACAGTACTGATGTTTGTTTCTCCTAAAGCAGACTAGAAATCATATAAAAATGCTACTAGAAAAATTTAATCATAAATTCATAATGTAAGAGAAGCCTTTAAAAAGTATTTACTCACTCTAGGTTCTTTTCCTTATCTACAGTGTGCTAGCATTTTCCTTTTTAAAAATGTGAAAGCACAGAGAAATTGCACTTTCTTGAATAATATATAATACTAGAGCTTACCATGTGTAAAATCTAAAGTCCTTATTTGTATTCATACTATATGATCCAAAAGATGCAGAACTAAGGAACTAGGCAAATTTTTAATAACAGCTCAAAATTATTTCTTTTCATTCTTTTTTTTTGGTACCGGGGATCAAACTCAGGACCTTACATTTGAGAGGCAGGAGGTGGAATCACTGAGTCAAATCCCCAGCCCTAAAATTATTTCTCTAAAATTATTTTCTGAACGAAATCTCACAAAATATTATTTTAATTCTTTAACAAAAGCCCCATTAATCAGAGTTTGGCATTCACTGATGAATAATCACACCATTTTAATAAAACCAAGATGTTATCATGCAATCATATTAAAGCTGAATTTAAATGTACTAGGAGTGTGATGAAGAAAAATCCTGGTCAGGCATGATGGTGTAAGTCTGTAATCCCAACATTTTGGAGGCCGAGGCAGGAGGATCACAAGTTCAAGCCCAGCCTGGGTAACTTAGTGAGACCTCCCTAGCCCAAAAAGAAAAAAAGGGCAAAATGCAAAGGTCTTAGTTTCAGTCCCCAATAACTGGCAGAAAATTGAAGTATGGACATAAATATTTAAGTGTGATGGACACATTTATGTCCCCCTAAAACTGGTTTGTTGAATGTCTCACCTTCAATGCTACGTGTATTAGGGAGTGGGGGCTTTGGGAGGTGAAAGAGGCCCTGGAGACCTGCCTTGGCTGGACCTTGCACCAAATGAGGACACGCTGGGAAGGTGGCCACATCTGAACCAGGAAGCAGATGACACATTTTCTGGTGTCTGAATTGTGGACTTCCTGGCCTCCAGAACTGTGAGGGATGAATGTCTGGTAAGCTACCCATTCTACTTTGTTCTAACAGCCCAAACAGACTAAGACACTAGCAAATCAAACAGCCTGCTTGTTCCTCAGCTGAATTTATTACCATTTTGATACTGCCTGTAATTTGGATTTGAGTCTTAATAATTTCTCAAAGAGAAATAAATCATAAGATAATTCAGGAAAAATATTAAAATCATTTCTAAATCTGCCTCTGTAACAGAATCAGCTGCAGTGGTTTCTGAGATCCTAGACTTTAGTGACTCAAAATCTCCACATGTCAGGCTTAATAAGCGCTACATTACAGAAGCCGCCCAAGAGATTCTGATTATATAATCATTTGGAAACCAGGTACACTACCATTTTGTAGATAAAGTTCATTGCAAAACAGAAAAGACCTGAAATAGTTCAGCAATTTAGAGATAACTGTGAGTTACACCTTTCAGGAAGAATTTTCTATTAATGGCCCACTCTTCACACCTGCTGTGGCATATAAAGCCCAAAGTTCAACTTCAAATGCTTTCATCCTAGGCATTTCAATAACGGTCACCCTGACCCTTAGCACAGTCATGCAGATCAGCTGATCTCTTGAGGACAACAGGAACCGAGCATAGAGCCAGGCTCTCTTGGGACTTGGTCTCTTTACATTCCCACTTCTATGCAGAGGTCCAGTCTGTTAACCTTAAACTTTTCTACTCAACTTTCCCTAAGAAGGAGTAGGTTATGCCAGTTGCTATTAAAAAGCAGACTAAAATATTAAGCAACTATGCTAATTAGCATAATTTTTATAAAAGCTATTGCATTTGCATATGTACCAAAAGATGATTATCACAAACTGCCCCCTTTCATACACTTTACCATGTCTGGACCACCAAAACTTTCTTCGAAATGTTTCTCGGGAGCTGATGTATTCTGCCCCCTCGGAAATCCTGAGTTTCTCTACCTAATTAAGGTTTCCACCAGGGCTGAAGACTCAATATTAAAAGGGGCCAGCCTGAAAATCTCTCATCCTGCACCCAGGACGTGTGAGGAGTTCCCCTGGTGGGTGACAATCCGACCCAGGTGGGCACCCCCACTAGAGGTCACCACTTCCTCAGCAGCACAGGTCATAGCAGATGCTACACTATTCCCGCCTCTTTGAGGACACACAGACATTTCCTGTGGACCAAGGTCTGCTATGGTGTGGTTTTTTTCCTCTGCTGGCTTTGGGAGTCCTTAAAACACTTCAGATGGTGAGTTTCCTTCCACCTGAAACAATGCCAATTTTTTTCTACAACTTAAATAACTCATCACATTTTTAGGAAGTACACAGTAACTGCCTGGTTCTAATACAGAGAAATGCAAAACGTCTTGTTTCGCAGATCAAGAGATATTTTTATCAGCTGAATCTACTTATGAGTCAAATGCTCAGCTGAATAATGTGCAGATTCTATAAGGCTGCAGTCCTTGGAAATGAGACAGTTAACAAATTTCCCATTCGTGTCAATCTCTTTCTACAAAACAATTTGAGAAAACCTAATAAATGCATGTCAAAGTGGGCTACTATACGGTGGGCTGTGCGCCACAATTTAAAGCAAATGCACGCACTGGGAACCTCGCCTACGTCTGTGCTGCTTAAAGTGAGGTCTGACAATAGGCAGCACTGCTATCCCTCGGAGCTGGTGAGAGAGCAGACTGCAGGCCTCACCCGGAGCCTGGATCGAGTGCAGTGCATCGCAGACTCCCAGGACATGCAGGCTACCACAGTCTCAGAATCACCACTTGAATACAATCTTCCAGAATCAGCTTTAGTAGCAGCTGATACTTCACCTCCTATCACATGAGAAAATGATCTCCCTTTCTACCCTCTTACCCAAATACAGTATGGCTTTAAACCAACCTTTAAGTCTTGTGCTACCACTGAAATTTTATTTAAAGACAGGTTGAAATGCTTGAGACCAGAAGTTTCAGATTTGAGATTTTTCAAATTTTGGAATATTACACACATATGAGATATCTTGGGGATGAGATCCAAGTCTAAACACAAAATTCATTTGTTTCCCAAACACCTTACATGTATAGTTTGAAGCTAATTTCAGACAATATTTGCAATGTGTGTTTTGACTGTGGCCTGTCACATGAAGTCAGGTGTGCTATTTTCCACTTGTAGCATCTTGTCAGTGCTTACACTTTGTTAAGATTTTGGAGCATTTCAGATTTTCCAATTAAAGATACTCAACTAGTACTCACGTCTAGATCCTACTGCTGAGATTCTGATTAAATTTGTCTGTGGTAGGGGCAAGAGAACAAAACAAAACACCAGGTAATTCTGATGTGCAACCAGGTAAGAAGCACTGGTACCAAGTATCTGCTGTACACAGCTGCTCTTAAATACAAAGATCAATTGATACCGCCAAGAGAATCCATTTCTAGTGGTTTCTCAAACTAGCACACATCAGAATCACCTGAAGGACTTGCTCATACACAGACTGCCAGGCCCTCTCTGCTCCCTGATTCACAGGCCAGCAGTGCATGGAGGCCTGACCGCACTTCTAACAAGCTCCCAGGTGATACCAACACTGAGACCAGGGGAGAGCGCTTTGACAACCTCTCCTTTAAAACTGTAGTGCACTGCTCAGAAAGCCGGCAGAGAAAAGGCACTGGAGCTTTGTCTGAAGGATTTGTAAGAGTGGGCGAGAGAAGCATTCTGGATCTGGTGTCATCCTTGGGGCTGGCAGATCTCAGGCTCTGGACCTGACTGCAGGATGAGGACATGAAGCTCTGGGCTCAGCACAATCTTCGTGCCCAGCAGTGGCTGAGTAAATTCCCCAAGTAAAGCTACCTATGAAAATCAAAATACAGTGTCTACCTGGCTATGGTCATAATGACTATTACAAGAAGTAACATTCAGGACAGATAAATATTGTACTTACCAAACCCCACAGAGCACCAGGAGAGGTAGCAGTGATTGTAGCTGCTCTGGGTGTGTTGTACATTAAGGCCAGTTCGCCAAAACTCCCACGATTGTCGTAATTACCAACACATCTTCCAACACCATCACATTTTACATAAATATCAAATGTTCCCCTGTTGGACATATGTAAATTGGAGGCAAAGGTAATTCAAATAAAATCCCATTGCACTTAAACTATTTCAGAAATGAGTCCTGTGCAATAAAATCTTACTTCCAACCTATAGGCTCTGATAACAGCAAGTAATAAAAAAGCAGCAGTACGTACTAATCTGTCCCTACCAGATGAGAACGTGAGGAGACCATCGGCTAGACTGGAGTAGGGGCCTGCGTGTGCCTGCTGGGAAAATGGAACTAAACAATACAAATTAAGCAATAAAAGACAAAAATATGAGACTACATATGTCAAACACTGCACTTACTGCATAAGAATAGTAAGGAATATTCAAGGGATGGTCATGTACTATTTTGTGATCAGAAGAAATTTTTTTTTTTTTTTAAAAGAACAGAGCTGGAACAATCTGGTTAGCTCCTATTCCACAGGACTCACTAGGAGCCATTATAATTGACAGCAGTGGTCAGCCCAAAGATTGGCTACCTTCTGTTTTAAATGAACTTTTATTGGAATACAGACAGAATTGTTACTTCATGCATTACGTGACTGGTTTTGCTCATACTGTCAGGGCTGAATCGCTGCAACAGAAATCATATTAGTCCACAAAGCCTCAAATATTTACTCTCTGGCTCTTTATACAATCTTGAGGTCAACCCAAAATCTAGAGTTCAAAAAGTAACAGAAATCCAGACTAACTATAGGATCCTCACTCATCCTTTTATAGTTTTTCTGTGCCTGTCTCTTAATTGGGGTTCTTTTTCTAAGCAAACAAGACATCATTCGCTTGTCCACAGTCTACAAACTCTTCTCTGGGTAGCGGGGCTGTCCCTTCATGCACTACACTTTGCCAGAGGGAACAGGGCTACAACCTTGCTGAGGCATCTGAGAAAACACAAAGGAAAGCGCCTCACTCTGCTGGCTAAACCCGAGCAAAAACGAAAAAGAGGGGCAGTGGCAAGAAAGGCATTGACTTAGGATTAGGAAAGGATTACAAATGATAACTAAATAGTAAGAACAGAAATATAAGGTAACAGATAAAAGATATTAATGAGAAAGGAAGAAAATACAATAATTAGGTCTTTAATATAGTTCAAGAACAAAATGACTATTTCAAAGATACGTTCTAGAATTTGTTCCAGGAATCAATTATTTTTCAAGTACAACTTGAAAAAAACTCTTCCACTTGCACCAACTATACTCCTGCACTGAAACTGTCCTTGACATTTACATATGTACAGGATCAAATATACAGCAAAACGTATGAGCTTTCCAGTTGAAATAGCATCAGGTTTGCTAGAATACCGTGGGCTAATTTTCACTCAGATTTTGTCCCTGCTAATGCGAGGCCTCAGCAGTGCAAACCCCAGGAAAGGTCTGGAAGGGAGGCGGTGGACAGGCAGATGAGGGCTGTGCCACCCTGAGCTGCTGGGTGACCCGAATCAAGCCCTCTCGCTTCCATATGCCTGAAAGTTTCACCTGTCAGTGGGTGAACATTAAAAAATAAGGCAGTTTTGAGAGTAAAAAATACCTACTAAAAAAGATGAATACCATACTGTATTTGGAGTTCTCCCAGTCCCCTACAACTAATCATAGCTGACTGAATTTCTAAGTTGTTTCACTGACAAAAGCTATTAATAATACCAAAATCATGACTGATTTACATATGGGATGACTGGTTTTGTTCTACTTCATAATCCTGGCGAGGGCCTTGGGAGGAGGTTACTAGGCATCGGCGCGATGAGGTGTGGAGGAGTCATCCACGGAGCACGCACGACCGATGTGTGAGACACCACAGAGCCGCGGCAGGAAACGAGGCTGGGCCCGGGAGAGGAGTGGATCAGCAAGGCCTCTCACACCCCACCAGAAGCAAGGGCAGCCTTGCAGAGCTTCCCTTGCAGAGCTCAGGGACACCCCGCCACAACACAACGACCCCTCCGCGTCACTTCACACAGGGAAGAAACAAACAATGCAGACTGCAGCCCTGTGGTAGTCATCCTTTACCCACCATGCAAACAAAGCACACTGTTCTTTGATGAAGTAAACACAAATGAAGCTGTCTGAAATTAGATTTTCAACAGCAAATAAAATAGTTTCTCTCTTAAGCATTTTTAAGAGACAAATGTAATAATGCACAAACAATGTGAAAGACACAAACGACTCACTATTGCCTGGGTGAGGCTGATGCAGCAAAAAGGAAAGACTGGTCATTTTACCCTCTACCCCTTGAAATGTCTGAACTTTTTAAATCATGAGCATCCTTATGTTATAGGTAATAAAAAGAGCTTGCTACAAACACAATAACACAGACTAAGTCCTTCTCTAATATCCTAGCCTTGTAAAATTTTAGTTCTATTCTGTTAATAGGTATGTGCTACATACTGCTACACACTCTTTTCCATCAATTTAGCAAATAAGGATGCTCAAATTAATGACTGGGATTTACAGATTAACCAAAACTCATCAATTTCTTTATAAATTGGCCCTCTTTTCATAATGTATTCCCTGCAAGTTTACATTACCAATTATGTAGCAAGTAATAAGAGGAAATAGCAACTATCATACAGTAACTTTCCAGCTGTCGTAATAACAACTGAGATTTTACACAAAAGGTATTTACACATCGGTAGTGAGTTTGGGCAGAACTTACCTATCGATCACATAAAAGTTGTCACCGTCATCTCCTTGATCAATAACATGTTCCCCTTCTTTAACCAATTTTTCAAACATGGCATCTAATACTTGAGACATCTGCTCCTATTTTTTAAAAAGACAAGATATAAACTTTATGTTTACCCAGAACATGCATTCTTTTTTGTTATTTTTTGGTACAGTGGATTGAACTCATGACCTTGCATTTGTGAGGCAGACACAGTGCCACTGAGCTAAATCCCCGGCCCTAGAACATGCTTTCTTTTTTCTTTTCATATACTGATTTCCATTAATTTTAATATTTACTGGCAAAAACATACTTTCCAGATGAAATTAAAATCAACTGTTCAGGCTCAGTCCCCAAAGCTTCTATGCAAAAATCTCTGGGTGCTGAGAACACAGCTGAAGAACCCCAAGCCCTTTCTTCAGCATGTTGAGTGGAAGTCTGCACCTGAACGTTCCTGCGGTGACAGGGAGCTCCTGTCTGCAGAGCAGCCCGTCCCTGCCAGACGTGTCATTCCAAGGCAGGTTTTAATGCTGCACTCCAGCTAATGTCTCCACCAGCTCCTTCCCAGCCTCTTGGTTTGGCCTCCAGACCAATATATTCAGATTACACATGTAAGTTTCATTAGAAGACTCTGTAGAGCAGTTTTAGGTTCACGGCGGAACGGAGAGGAACACAGAGATTCTGGCGTGCTCCCGGCCCCAGTCCACACACCAGCGCCCATCAACCTCCCCACCCGAGGGGTGCATCTGGGATACTCTGGCGATGCACTGACCTACCACTATCAGCGGGTCTCCATTTACACTAAGCCTCCCTCCTGGTGTGGTGCGTTCTCAGTCTGGACTAATGGAAAATAACACATATCCACTACTACAGAATCACACAGAGTAGTTTCACTGCCCTAAAAGTCCTTGCTTCCTCTGTAACTCTTAGTGACCACCGAGCTGTTTTGCCCTTTCCAGAATGTCATGTAACTTGAATCATACACTATACAGGCCTTTGCAGATTGGCCTCTTTCACTCAGTAACAGGCATATAGAGTTCCTCTCTATCTTTTCATGACTTGATGCTCAGTGCAGAGTAACATTCCACTGCCTGCATGTACCACGGCTTATTTGTCCACTCACCTCCTAAAGGGTATCTTGGCCACTTTCAAGTTTTATCAATTATGAATAAAGCTGCTATAGACATCTGTATGTAGGTTTTTGCACTAAGTTTTCAACCCCTTTCAGTAAAAACCAAGGAGCATGACTGCTGGAGCACGTGGGTACAAAGATGGTTAGCTCCGTAGGAAACTGCCAAACCTTCTACTGAGGCTGTATTCCCACCAGCAATGAACGAAGTTCTGTGACTCCACATCTTCACCGATGTGGCGGTTCCGTGTTTTGGATTTTGGCCATTCTGACAGGTGTGTGGTGGCATCTCATTACTTTGCATTTTCCTGATGCCACGTGATGTAGGGCATCTTTTTGTATGCTTCCTTTTATCTGTGCTTCTTCTTTGGTGAGGTGTCTGTTAAGGTCTTTGGTCCATTTTTAAATCAGGTCATTTGCTTACTGTTAAGTTTTAGGGGTATTTGGGGTAACAATCCTTATCAGATGTGTCTTAGGAATGTCATCTTCCAGTCTGTGATTTGTCTTTTCATCCTGTTCACAGTGCCTTTTGCAGCACAGAAATTTTAAAATTTTTTTTCTGTACCAGGAATCAAACTCAGGGCCTTGGGGATGCTAGGAAGGTGCAGTGCCAGAGCTAAATCTCCAGCCCAGAATTTTTTTTTGTTTTTCAGTACCGGAGATTGGACTTGGGACCTTGTGCTTGCAAGGCAGGCGGCAGAACCACTGAGCTAAATCCCTGACCCCCAAACTTTTTAATTTTAATGAAGCCCAGCTTATCAATTCTCACACTTTTATATATTGTGCCTTTGGTGGAATATCTAAACAAAAAGCTATCACCATTCCTAGAAAACCTAGACTTTCCCCTGCATTAGCTTCAAGGAGTTTTATACATTTAAGATTGTGATCCATTTTGAGTTAAAATTTTTTTTGAGGGGTATGAAGTCAGGGTCTAGATTCCTGTTTTTGGCAGGTGATGTCCAGTTGTCCCAGTACCACTTGCTGAAAAGACCATTTTTACTACATTGTCTTGCTTTGGCTCCTTTGTAAAAGATCAGTTCATTGATGTAAAGCTGTTTCTGGGCTCTCAATTCTGTTCCAGTGATCAATTTATCATTCTTTTGCCAGTATCACATTGTCTTGATTACCATTACTTTATACTAAGTCTTGAAACTGGTATCAATTCTGATTTTTGTCCTTCAAGGTTATGTTGGCTATTCTGTCTTTCACCTCTCCAGATTTATCTATTCTGGATACAAACCACAGAATCAGTTTGTCAATATCTACAAAATAATGTACTGGGGCTTTTATTGGGATTGAATCTACAGATCGAATTGGTAAGAACTTATATCTTGACAATACTGAGTCTTCCAATGGGACTCTCTCTTCATTTTATTTAGTTCTGTTTGAGTTTTGTCATTTTCCTCAGATAGCTCTTGTACATATTTTGTTAGACGTATATTTAAGTATTTCACTTTTAGTGATGATAAAGGGTACTGATTTTAATTTAAAATTCTATTTGTTCCTTTTTGCTGTGTTGAAAAGTGATTGGCTTTTATATATTAATATTATATACTACAACCTTGCTGTAATCACTTTTTTAGTTTGGGGAGTTTTTTTTGGTGATTTTACAGGTCTGCTGCTTATATAATCATATCATCTATGAACAAAGACAGTTGTACTTCTTCTTTCTCAATCAGTACAGCTTTTATTTCCTTTCCTTATCTTAGTGCATTAGCTAGGGGCTTCCAGTATGAGGTTGAAAAGGAGTGGTGAGAGGGAACTACAATTTTGTAACTGACATAAAACGCACATACTATAAAACTCATAATTTAAAAAGTGAACAACGCAGTGGCCACACGCTGTGTAACTGCCCCCTTGTGTATTTCCAAAACAGTTTCATCACTCCAAAGGAAAACCGTTAAGCAGCCACTTGCCATTCTTATGTACTCTTAATCCTAGAAACCACTTCTGTTTTCTTTCTTGACAGATTATCTACTCTGGATCTTTCAATATAGCAATTATAAAGTATGTGGCCTTTTGTGTCTGGTTTATTTCACTTAGGGTAATGTTTTCAAAGTTCATCTCCACTGTGGGGCATATGACACAATTTTTTTTCAGACCAATAATATTCCATTGTTTGTAAATACTACAATCTGTTTATCCATTTTGTCAACACACACTGGTTGTTTCTCTCTTCTGGTTATTGTGAATAGTACTGCTATAAGCACTGTAAGTATTTGAGTATTCCCAATTCTTTTGAGTGTACATCCATGAGTAGGATTATTGGAAAATATGATATCTCTACATTTAACTCTTTTTTTCAAAGACGAGTCTCACTATGTAGTCCAGGCTTGAACTTGTAAGCCTCCTGCCTCAGCCTCCCGAAAACAGGGGGTTCGAGGCATGCACCACCATGCCCAGCCTTATATTTAATTTTCATCAAGCAGTTTTCCTCAGCAGCTGAACCACACTACTTTCTCACTAGCAAATGTGCAGTTATTACTTCACATTCTCACCATCTGCACCCCCTTAAATGATAGCTATCCTAGTGGGGTTGAAGTAATATTTCACTGCGGTTTTGACCTGCATTTTCCTCATGACTAACCATGCTGAGGCCTGCATTTTCCTCACGACTATGTGCTTGTTGGCCACTTGAATAGGAGAAAGTATTTTACCCATTTAAAAATTGGATTTTGTATTTTTTGATGTTGTGTTGTGTTATTTACATACTTTTCAGCTCTGGATTCTTATCAGATGTATGATTATAAACACTGTCTTCCATTTTGTAGACTGTCTTTTCAATGCTATCTAAAAATTTCTCATTTTTATAAAGTTCAATTTCTCTTGTCTTGCTTTTGGTACTGAGGAATTCAAGGTCATGAGACTGCTATGCTTTCTTCTAAGAGTTTTATAGCGTTAGCTCTTGTACGGTAGGTCTTTGATCCATTTTTGGTTAATTTTTGTATATGTCATGCACAGGGGTCCAACTTCCTCCTTTTGTGTGGATATACAGTTGTCCCAGGACCATCTGTTAAAGAGATTATTATTTCCTTGGTGGACAGGTGTCACACTCTTGTTGAAAAGCATTTGGTCATAAATCCATCAGTTTATTTCTGAACTCTCAGTTTCATGCTAGTGTTCTACATGTGTATCTCGATGCCACTACTACTACTTTATTACGGGAGCTTTGTAGTAAGTTTTGAAATTGTGAAATGTGAGGCCTGCAAATTTTGTTCTTGTTCAATATGGTTTGGTTTTCTGGAGCCTCTCTGTCATGGATCCTATTTTAACACAGTGGGATGACAACAAAATGTATAGTTTAGCTCTGTAATACATAAAAGCTACCACTTTAAACTTTTATAAATCAATTAACACTCATGAAAATAATTTTTAAAAACAACAGGGACTCTCTACTGGCAGGGACATATCCCAGTAAGTAACCTATGTCCACATAGCTCTCTGCAATCTGATATGTTACTAAGTAGAAAAAAATAACAGGGCAAACACTAGAGATTTTGCTGCCACTAGATTTTTTAAAAAGAATATATTTGTATATGCATTACATGACCCCGGAAAATACCCATTATCGTACTGAAAGAACTTGCCTAGAACTGAGAACAAGGGTTGCTGGGAGACAGGTGGAGCTATCTTTTGTTCATTGTGAATTTTGTAAATTTCAGGTCTGTTGATTATAGCGTCTTAACTTAAAAACAAAGCAGACAGAGAATATAACTTTGCATCTTCATGTGGGCTAAGAAAAACCTGTGAAAGCGATAGAGATATGTTTGCAGGGCATGGTTTTTATCCCTTCCTTGGGTTTCTGTGAGAGCTCTGGCACCTACTTGTGGGCCAGCAGCCAGGCTAAGGGTGAGTCAGTGTGGCAGTGAAACAGGCTTGATGTGGTGTTAATTGGCCCCATGGGGATCCTTTTACCCAAATGATTTCATCCACTCAGGCAACATATGGTCACCTATCAAAATTCTGAAGGTTGATTAAATGGTTTACTAATACTTTGTTTCACTTGCTATTTCTATTTTGACTCTGGGGTGGGCAGGAGGAACATCAGCCTTATTGATTAGTTCTAACTCTAAATGTCAAATGGGGGGAAAAAGGATAAATTAAATTTCTGTACTAAATATTTTGTTATATTGGAATTATCTGCATTTTAATTAAGTAACACAGTTCCCAAATTATAAAGCTGAAGAATGCATACATGGATATTTGAAAAAGTAAAATTCTTGATAAAATACAGAAAAATAATCTTTTAAAACTTCTCTATGTGACAGGTGTCCTTCTAATCAATCAAAATGTGATTTACCCATAATTATGCACAGAATAAAAGAACTTAGGAAATATTTAATATTCAAAGGCTTATCAAGATGACTGACAACCACTGGAGGAAATCCACATGAGTTCCCTTACAGAATGCAAATTCAAGACCGAGCTTAGTAAAGAGCTCTGAGTCACTTCAGGAATAACAACTGACTCTGCATTAATGAAAGCGCCTATCATATAGCACAGGAAAATTATTTCAGTTAGCCTCAAATTAGAAATATTTCAGAAGGAAAGTGGCCTACTGAGTCAAGCATTAAAATATTCATGAAAAGAATATCTTCAAAGAGTTTAACAATTATAACTGCTATGGTTCCACATATGAATATACAGCACTATTGGGGGAAAAATGTTCTGAGGTCTACGAAGTACAGGTTTTCAGGCTAAACAGTGACTTCAAGTAATTCAGATGAGATGGGGGACACAGAGCCAAGCTCATTCTTCTTGCTAATCAGGACTTACCATACTATTTCTTCTCCTTCAAGTTCCCCTCTTCCAAAAAGGCCCTGCCTTCACAGGCATTCTAGCTAAACCCAGGCAGTCATCCTAGTGCTTTCCTTCAGGCCCAGTTAATTGAAACACCAAGTACCAAGCTCTGCCAACCCTGATTTTCCTTTCTGTCCATCTTTTTTCACTTCTGCCTACTTGAGCCCATTTCTCCTCTTGGATGGCGGCACGGCTTCATCATGCTTTGTTCTTGCCGATGTTCCCAACCTCTCTGCCCCCTTTAATTCCACCCTTGGCATCACCACCAAAGGGAACTCAGGGATACATGACTGTTGTAGCCTCTATTCAAAACTCTTCAGTTGTGCTCACTGCTGCTGGACACTCAAGAAAGGTCCTTTAAGACGTGGCACTCACATCTTAGCTGCCGTAACTAGACAGTGTCCACTGTAGGCTCTAATGGTAACATTCTATGCTTTTGTCAACTGATGACTTCCTTTTTGTTTTCTGAGGTAAAACTCAGTGGCCCCTCCAGCATTATGAACTGTCAGGGCAGTCTAAGAGACAACACATCCTCTCCCAGCACCCTGACCACACGACAACATCTATCATCAGCATGCTGTCTATGAACACACGTGTTTGTAGGCCTCATCAAATTATGGGTTCCAGGAGGACAAGAACCGTGTCTCAACATCACTGTGACCACCAATACCTTATCCAAGCCTTGGAACAAAGGGAGCTGTCAAACACTTACTGGACAGGAGCTACATGATAAGTGGATCATGTGCTGAGTGTGTAATTCAACCAAAATGCATTTGGGCTACTGCAAATGATGTTATATCATAAAAATTAAAGGCTGCCCAATATATGAGCTAAACTTAAAACTTTCATTCTGCTATGTGTGCGGCTAAATTTCTTTCTCCAGGTAGTAATTTGTTAAGTAAAATAAATGTATATTTTTAAATATACTCTGCATCATCTCTGAAAGGATTTGAGATAGTAGGGAAATAAATCAATCTGGTTTAAGTTCAAATTCAAAAAATAATCTTTCAGAAACAATTATGTCAGCATGTTTGCTTCTCCTTACAAACATTCAGTAATAACAATTTGCAGTTTGGGCTTTTGCTTCCCCAATAAACTAGATTTTAAAATATATATTGAAAACCTTTAGGAGAGCAGTGAAGAAAGACTAAAACAATCGTACATTTATAAAAATAATCATTTTAATTAAAGCACCTTTCAAAACTATTCTAGCAAAAGATTTTTAAAGTTTTAAATGCAAGCATAATTTTACAATGCTTTTAAAGAGTTAAGGTTCAGATGGCAAAGAAAAACAATTTAATTTAGAGGCTAGAACAAGCAACATCCCAGGAAAGTATAACTAGCAACTATTTCATTCATGCCTTTTTATCCTTAGCACACATAAACCAGAGCATCATTGCTTAGTCACTGCTTGAGCACTAAAATACTGGTTTAATGAATAGAAAAGCAGACAAACAAAATAACACATGGCAGCACTAAGATACTGAACGCAATCATTTTCACATGTAGCTCAAATCCTGAGTGTTCAGAGTGTGTTGAAGGCCCGCACACTACTGGTACCTGGGATCTTGTGCGAACGCAGACTCTCAGGCCACACTCCAGACCGACTGAGTCAGCATCTACATTTTCACAAGACCCTCAATCATATATGAACTCATTAAAACCTGACAGGCACTGGTTTTGGGGTCCTCCGAAACTGTCCCATGGAAAGTCCTAGTCCAAAGAGAGAGAATCCCTAATGGAATCCCATCCCTGAGCATAAAATGAAGGACTGATTTTAGAACTATCTGATGTGTGCATCTGGAGTAAAAGAGATAGAGTAACATGTAATAAGTAAAACGTTACTTAATTGGTGCTGGCCTCAGAGAGCATCCAGGTCAACTCTGGGCATTGAACCAGGTCCCTGTTTCCTTAGCACTCACTTTCAGTGGTGGGTCTCAGAAAATTCGGGTGAATGGACTGAGTGAATAAACTTGGAAGGATAAAGATGTATCAGTGCCACTCTGAAAGGGGAGCTCTTTCTGGGAGCGTGTAACTATGTTCACAGGTTCCCTGCTACTTCTAATAAGACCTGAGTTAGACAGCATTTCAAATACCAAATCTATCCAAAAAAATCACTCATTATTAAATATGTATACTTAAGTATCAAAGAATAACTGAAAGCATTCTGGTTTAGTTCCATGTCTTCTTTGTGAGACCTTAGTGCAGACAGGAAGACTTGGCTGGTGTGTACTACCTAAAAAGTAAGACGAGGATGGAAAATATGTAGTTCCTGCCTTCCAGAAATGAATCCAGGGAGTGACTGATGCATCTTTGACATGGTCAGTTCAGCTCTGTTCTATCAGAGAGAACAACCTGGACTCAGAGATGGATACACCAGCTTCTAATGTGCAGGCCTAAAAGCCAGGTCAGCCAAGTCACAACATGGAGTCCACATTTATGGAGCACCAGGGATTTAAAACTGTTTCAGGGTGCAAACATGACCTACTACAGAAGAGGGGTTAATCGTTCAAAATATGCCCTTTGAAAGAAGACTGCATCCCCAAAAACAAAGTGGGGATGGACTTAAAGCTCTCCCTTCTAAGGCATCAATCTGAAATGAGAAGATGTGGAGTTTGACCTGCCTCCCCCAAAGTTTGAGCACATTATAAAAGTCAACTCGACTTTCACATTTGAAACATGCAGTTCTTTCCAAAATGACTATATACTTCTTCCCTAAATAACTACACTGTAAAAATATGCAAATCTGTGATAAAAGAAACAGAACACTGAGGCCAAGAGTATATAGCAATATCTGAAGAGTACTCTTACTGACACTGAGAATAGGTATTCCAGAAACTCCTAAAACTATCCCTCAGCAAAATATCCTCCCACCTTAAAGAAGCCATGTAAAATGTTACTTTAAAAATGTAACACTGAATTTTATTAAAAAGTCAAATAGGGCCAGGGATTTAGCTCAGTGGAACTGTGCCTGCCTCGCACAAGTACAAGATCCTGAGTTCAATCCCTGGTACCAAAGGGGATTAAAATAAAAAGTCAAATATAATGAGTAGTTCTGGGAGAAGTGCTCCTTCAGGAACCTAATAATACTGCAAATGCCTGCTGGATGCCTGAAGGAGGCAGGACTCAGTCCTCTTTTGACCACTTCTCAGGGCTGTGTACCAAGTGAGGGACAACAGCACAACTTCTCCACTCAGCACAGGCTCGCTTACTCCTGGCTCTGGCTGCCTATAAAATCCATTTGTATTATAAGATTTCTCTTACCGGATCCAGGTTCTTAAACAGCAGGATGTCTTTGCAAGCTTCTTGCAATCTGTTTCTTTGATCATCGGTTTTTGGATGTATAATCTATAAAGGACATCAAATTAAAAAATAGAAAAACAGAGGAAGTTGTTAGCACCATCAAAATTTAACAGAAATCAACAGGCATGCTGGAAAGTATTGTTGGTACTCAAGTTAACTTTCAGTCAGCACAAAGATTCACTCTAGATAATGAGTAACCAACCATCAGTAAGCAACCACTGAGTAGGAGAAGGTAATGTAAGGGAGTGCTACACATCCATCCAGGTAGCAGCTGGATGCTTTCCAGGAGTGTCCCCCAGGTTTGCAAGTTCATTCTGCAAAGGTGTATGGTTGGCTAGAGAGACTCCAGTAGGGACAAGGACAAGAAGACAATCACTACAATGAAAATTTAGAGACTGTCTTTATTCTGTTTTTACCACTTTTAACACTCTTTCAGAATGCAGCTCTTTCCTTTGGAACTTGATAGTCTCCAGAAGCAAGTAAATTCTTAAATGTAGAGAAACGGGCACATTACATTCCTATAGCCTCACTACTTTTATTCCAGCAGGGTGAAGATGGAAGAGTGTCCTCTAAAAGAGTCCCTTTTGCCCAGCAGAAGGCTCACTGAACCAAGGTCCATTGTTTGAGTGTGACGCTGAGGACTGAACCCAGTGCCTTGACTGTACTGAGGAAGCACTCTATTCCCGAGCAATATCCAGGCCCCCAAAGGCCCAATCTGTTGCAAATACTGGTAGTTTTAAAGTATGAAATGAGTCAGGGAAGGGACAGTCCTGAAAGCAGGCATGCAAGTGGTTTCCTGGACACCTATACACCACCTTCTTATTCCAAGGTTCACTTAGAGTGACCGTGACAGCTGATGAGTAGGATCCTCGCCTCTTCAGTCAGCCGGTTCCGCCAGCTAGAATCAAGCAGCAGTGAGTCTGTACCTCAAAATGTATCAAAATTCACAGGGTGGCGGGGGATGTAATTCGGGGGGAACAGTACTGGCCTAGCATGTGTGAAGCCCTGGGTTCAATTTCTAGTACCAGAAACAAAACACACAAAAGGGTAAATTTAAACCAGCACATTAGATGGCTAAAGATGAATGAAAATCATGAGCTGGAAAAGAACTGAGGAAACTTACAAGTACATGCAAACTATCCCTGCGTATTATTTTAGATGACATGAAAGATTAGCAACAGAAGTCACTGTATTGTGTCTATAAGGAAGCCTTTGTTTACTGTCACCTCAAATTAGTCTAAGATGACAGGTGAACACAGAAAGCAGCCTTCCCACTGCTGCACATGACAACTTTTAAAATTTGGACTTTAAATCATACCAACACAAACTCCCTTTTTCCTATTTTGAAAAAAGAAAAGCTAATGTAATAAATTAAAAACAAAACCTGTTACTTCTCACTTCACAAAATCCATCCGGAGTCCAGAACTGAAGCAGGAGTACACGTCTGCCTGCTGATGAGCATGACCCTTGGGTGAAGGCAGGGAAACACCACCCACCCAGACTTCGCTCCGTCAGCCAGTCTTCCTGCCTCTCCTCCCCTGGCTTCCCCATCAAGCCCTCACACAGAAGCCCAGCCTTTTCCTTTCTTCTCTTTCCTGCTGCTTCTGTTCTTATCAATCAGTACTTCCAAGCTCTCTGGTTCTCAGTCGGGCCTCTGCTGCTACTGACGCTACTGACGCTGCTCCCTGTCCCAGCTTCCCAGGACCCAGCCCCTGGTGTCACCCACTCCCTCCCTCCCAGTGAGACCCCACCCTGCATTGTGACGCTGTTCTTCCACCTCTAAAGACAATCTTCCCCCAGTGGGCTTTGCGCATCCTATATAAGGGATCTGTTTCTGGATTCCCTTGGCTTTAATAATACCTAAAGTATGATTTCTCTTATCCTAGAGGCCAATTTAATTTGTATTAAATTTTATTTCTGGTTTCAAGATTAAACCTTGTTTGTTAAGCACTCACATGGCATTTACTAAGTGGTGAGTGCTTACCGATCCTACATCATTTCATCCTAGCACAACCCCAGGAAGCAGGTCCCAACTGAGAGGTAAGGAAACTGCCCTCCCAAGTGACTTCCCAGTGGGCAGGGCTGCAGGCTGTGCTCTGAACCAGGGATCAGCAAAACTACACCTCAGGCAAACTCGCGTTTGTAAGGCCTCTGGGCTGAGAATAGTTTCACCCTTTCGAATCACTTTTTTAAAAAAGTGTTTCCTGATGCATGGAAATTTTATGAAATACAAATCCTAGTACCCAGAAATAAAGTTGCAGTGGCATGCCGACGTGCTCATTTCGTTCCTGCCTGCTTTCAAACTACTGCAGCAGAGCTGAGCAACTGCAAGAGACCTTGTGACCCCCCGCAGCCTACAATATTCACTCCAAAAATAGTGGATTTTCAGTTAAAATAAAAAACTGCAGAAAAAGCCTGCCAACTCACTCTAAATCTCTGCTGCCTTTCAATAAAAATAATTAGAAAGCTAATTAATAAATTAGGTTTACTCAGGCATGTTCTCTAAAGAACACTGCATCCTGTTACCCAACAACAGTTTGTACGAGGTATTTTCTTATTTGTCCAAGCCATTCTCCAGGAGCTGAAAGTCATCCTGCAAAATTTCAGTCAGAACATCCCTCTCTCCAGCTGCAACCCTCAGCGGGCTCCCTCCCTGCACCGGGGAGGAAAATCCCCATTCCTGTCTTCTTGGCTTGGCCCCAGCCAGGCCCTTGCCTCTGCCTGGACTCAGACCCACACACTCCTCCTCCTCTTCCGCCTGACAGTGAGGCCAGGAGAAAGGGTGCAGACTTCTTCGAGACTCTCCCTGACGTCCGGCTCATGGCAGAGGCCAGAGGACTGCGGCATTTGAATTCCCACAGTTACCCTGCTCACTTCACATCAAGTGTGCATCCATTTACGCACTCGATGTCTCCATCTGCCACCAGCCTCTCAGCTGGCAGAGGGCAGGGCTCACTTTGCTTCCATTTACATTTTCTTTGAATTGATATCAGAGGACAAATACCTATTAATACTAGAAATGTAAGGTATAGGTGATTCACAGAGCCCCAGAAATAATACAAAACATCAACAGTGTTACTCTATCAAAATACAGAATACAGCTTCCTGTGGACATTTGCCAGTGTTTGTCAAGGGCTAATTGTGAAACATGTAGTAACTACTCCCAAGGGATATGGTTCAGTTTGCCTTACAGTTTCTTTTACTTTTTCTTTTTCTTTTTCTTTTTTGGTTTTTTGAGACAGGTTCTCACTATATAGTTGAGACTGACCTGGAACTCACTATGTAGCCCAGGCTGGTCTTGAACTCACAGTGATCCTCCTGCCTCAGCCTCCTGAGTGCTGGGATTACAGGCATGCACCACCATGCTCGGCTGCCTTACAGTTTCTAAAGCGGGGGGAGCATAGTTTTCAGTAATCTGTCTAGGGGAGAAAATACTCCCCTAGAATACTACTTAAGTACTTTATCATAATCATTGACATAATTCATACGTTAGTTACCAAAAAAATCTTAGCATGTCATACAGAGAGAAGTCTCGGGGTGATGTCCACCCCAGAAAACCTCGTCCTCCTCTTGGAACTGCATGCCCTTCCCTAGGGAAGTGGCCCTGCAGAGCCCAGTCTGGAGGTAGGGACCTGACCCCATGCAGTGCAGTGTGAACTGAAGGACACGGTAACAAGGAGGCACGGAGGCTGAGGGCCTTCCAGACACCGCACTCCAGTCCTCCACCCATGCCACTGAAATGGCCCAGAAGTGGGCTGGCTCCTTCTGAACATTTTCTGGGAGCAGTAAGATCTCTAAACATCTGTCCAGTAAGTTTTCCCCAGCAGTTTCTTTTTTATATTTTTATTTATTTTTAATTTTTTTGGTACCAGGGATCAAACTCAGGTCCTTGTGCTAGCAAGGCAGGCGGCGGAACCACTGAGCTGAATTTCCGAATATTTTTTATGTTTATTTCAATGTGATTAGCTCCTCTTACATAGGCAACTAAAAAAATAATTTTCCCCCCTACTACTGGGGATTGAACCTAGGGCCTCTGTATTGAACTATGCCCCAGATCCTTCTTTTTTTGTGTGTGAGACAGAGTCTTGTTAAATCACTAAGTTCCCCAGGCTGCGCTCCAGCCTGTGATCCTCCAGCCTCCTCAAGGCCTGGGATTACTGGTATGTGCTACCATGCCCAGCCTGGCAAATAAATCTTTTTTTTTTTTTTTGTACCAGGGATCGAGCTTGGGACCTTGTGCTTGCAAGGCAGGCAGTGGAATCACTGAGCTAGATCCCCAGCTTGGAAAACAAACCTTAACCAGAATAATCTCCCCAATAAAACCAGTGAGTTCGCGTAAACCAGCCACAACACTTCTCCTATCTCATGCATTCCATGGTGACTAAAATCCCTCTCAAGGTCTCACAATCTTTGTCTCAATGAGATACTGCATCTTGTTTCCAAAGTGTACTGTAAACTCTTTGATTTAGACTTTTTTACTAATTTACACCACTTCTTCAAAACTCAAAACTTCAAAGCTGCTAAATTTTATTGTGTACATTTGTCCATAGATCCAGGTGTGGTGGCACATGCCTGTAATCCTACCACTAGGGAGGCTGAGTCAGGAGGACTGCCAGGAAGGAGTTCAGGAGGCCTATCTGGGCTACACAGTGAGTTGAAGGCCATCCTGAATTGCAAAGCAAGACCTTTTCAAAAACAAAACAAAACAAAAAAACCATTTGTCCAAAAACAAGAATGGATACAGTTTTCAAATGTCACTGTTCCTGTTTCTGCCAGACACATAAATAAGGTACATGGTAGGCAGGGTCAAACTGTGCATACAAAGTGGTAACAGCACATCAGATTAGTATCTGATCTTGATCCTAAAGCGACCTAATTTCCAGTCGGATCTGTGGACTTCATCAAAATAACTTAAATTCTGGGAGTGGGAACATCCCTGGTGCTGGGCCTCATGCTACAGTGAGACTTCAGGACACTCCTTTCCCATCTCTCAACCCCTGGATTTTATGTATATTTCACAGAGCTTCTTGATGAAATGACTTAGGGGAACTACAGCCTGCTTTTCTGTGCTAAAACTCCATCTTACAGAAGTAATTTTCAGAGCTTGAGAAATAGGTTTCTGTTTATACTTGTAGGGCCAAAGAGACATGGGGACTTCTGCAAAGTATGCACACACAAAAAAAAGTAAATTAGTATTTTCCATTTCCAGGCACAGTAATCTCTTAGTTTACTTCTCAGTGACTAAATAGGAGAACCAAGCTGAAGGACACAGCTTAAACACTGCATCAAACCACATCAGTCCGATTCTTGCAAAAACATTAGGGCCTGCAAGGAAGCAGCTACCGAGAAAATTATTGAGACCCAGAGATTTTTAAGGCAGCGACTGCTATACTGACACCGTAGATGTAATCCCACTGTGACTTGCTTGCTTCAAAGTAAGCTTTTATTGTTATCTGTTAATAGGAGCAAATGGTCTTTCCTAGTTTTTTTTTATACTTTCTAAGAAAAATAACATTAGTACTATGAGAAACATGGCTAAAAACATTTTTTATCACCAGGATATATTTTGCAAAAACAAACAAACAAACAAAAACACTACAAGTGCAGTGAGCAATATATTGTTCTTTCCTTTTATCCAAAGACATGCATTTTTTGGGTAAAAATAATTCTACAGAATTTTAAGTAGAAGTAGGTGATCACAGAAAACACTAGGAAAAGAAACAATCAAAATAATTCCATTGTATCCTATTAAGCTGCATGCCCGTTAACACCTTGTACAGTTTTATTTTCCGTATAAACACAAGTGTCACTTTCAGTCTGACTCATTCTGCCAGCTACGTACCCTGGACTCTGCATCATCTTCCTCTTCATCAGGGTTGTAAGCTTCTGCACACACTACAAAGATAAAAACGCACATTTACGGATTTGTTCGTCAAAAAACATAACAGTAAACATCTTTTAAATCAATGAACAAAAAGTACCACGGCATTAAAAGAAACCATTAATTTCAGGGCAAGCACATTATCCCCTAAAACTGATTTCACATCCTAACTTCTGAGGATTCTTCTTAGAATACAAAGCTGTAGTTTTAAGACACTGACAATTACTTTTTGCTTTCTTCTTTTCAAAGCTTAAACCCTTTTGTCTCCACTTCCAAGCCAAAGAAATGCTTAAGAGTTTAAAATACTTTTTTAAAAAGGCAATGAAGTCATGGGGATGGGGCAGGGTCTCCCTAGGTAGCCCAGGCTCACCTTGAACTCAAGGTGATCTTCCTGTCTCAGCCTCTGGAGTTCTGGGATTGCAAGCGTGCACCACCACGTCTGGTTTAAAGGATCAACTTAACCATAAAACTATGAGCAACTTTCATAAATTAGTCACAACCCACTCTTTCAAGAACAACTGAATACACATACTCCCTTCAGTCTTTATTCTGAGTTGTTCATATTGCATATTCCATTTTTAAAACTGCTTTTTTTCATTTAACACTATAAGAATGTATGTCATCAGAAAAAATAGTGTTTTTAAGGTCTGCAGATTATTTATCATATGCTATAATTAACTATTTCCCCCATGCTGATCAGTTAGGTAGGCTCTGACTAAAACTTTGCAATATCTTCTACATAAATATCTGTCTACATTTGAGATTAACTGCAGGCATAATTTCCAAATGTTACTTTGGGAGGGTAAAAGGCACGACAAATTTTAAGACATATTTATGACCATGCTTCTTTCCAGAGGGGTTGTACCCATGCACTAACCTATGAATAATGTGTAAAAAGGCTCCTCTTACCAAATGAGCAAATTGGATATTACTTCCAATTTTTATTAGAATTTAAAGATTTAATTTTTTAAAAATTAAATTTGAACAATTTCAAATGTTTATAGGCTTACCATATTTCCTCTTTTGTCTTTATCTTTGGGCAACATTCAGTTTCCTTTATGAATTAAAACAGTTTCTTAATACCATTCTATTTGATATATTACTCATAATCACTTTATCCAATTTGTTTTTTAATGACTATTATAAAGCTTTTACAGATTACGCATGTTTCTTTCTTTTTAGTGCAGTGACATCTATCAAGGAAGAAAATGGTCCAGCGTGATTTAAATTTAATGCCACAGGAATACCAATTTTGAGCTTGGACATCGTCCCTTACTTGCAAATCTAACTTCTGTCTTTTAAAGAGAGGTCTTTGCATTCACTCTTTGGTCCACATGGAGTCTATCTGACATAAATACTGAAATTTAAAGAGCAAAGGACTGATGAAAGGCTAGCAAATGTCTCCCTCTTCCCAGAGGCCTTGGGCTTCCACCACAAGTATCATCCTCATTCCACGGAACCATCACCATCCTTCTAACACCTCACGTTCCTTTCTCCTCTCCAGGCACCGGTCTGTATACTCACCTGGTTGTTCTTAACCAGGTCCTAGTTTGCCCTCCACAGATTGTCACACGGTGGGGATTGCAGGGAAGCTACTAGCATCTAGGGGGTTTAGGAGAGGGATGGTTTTACAATGTCCCTACATGCTCAAACAAAGCACTACCTGGTTCCAAATGTCAACAGTACTAAGGCTGAGAAATCCTGACCTAGTTATCTTATTCTCACCACAGCAGTACATGTTAATGTCCTCATCTAACAGATGAAGACTAGGGCACAGACAGGCCAAAGTCACACATCCTATGGGACAGGACCTGTATTTGATTGCAGGATTGTCTGAGCGCCTTGACTCCAAAGCCTTTGCCCTCAACTACTGCTCAACACTTGACACTTTGGTGACTTTATATGTCAATCTTTTGTCTCAGAAATCCAAAAGAAACTGCCTGTCTCTTAGGGGAAGGCTCTGGGACCTTTGATGATGCACATAAGCAGGATTTAACTGAGTAACTAACTTCCAGGATAAAGCATGGAGTCAGCACAGCCAGCCAGTTCTCTCCTGCAATAAGACCACGGATGCCGAATCACAATTAGATGGTTGCTTGGTGAGCAGGAAATGGGAGGTTAAGTCAGATGTCAAATATAGGGAATCCACACACACACACACACACACACCGGTGCAGATGGTTCTGCTAACGTGCGTGGCCACTTCACCAGGATCAGCTATAACTCTCCAGAGGACACAAGGACATCTCCTTCCATGGTGTCACTCTGCAACTCTGTCCCCACGGGTCACCAACCTCACAGACAGGACTGCTAGATAATTTCCAGGTCACAGAGCCAAAAGAAAACTTGGTTCCTATGTTCAAAAATATACTGTCCAGAGGACCACAGTGGCCGAGAACTAAACCAAATGCAGGGTTCTTGTGAGTATGAGGCCGATTAAGACAGCCTTCTTCATAGGATTAACATATTCATCAGTAAGGTGATATAGCAGATGACTTACTTGGTTCTCTGAGTAACTTTAATCTATTACTTTCCAAATATCTTATCAGTTGTCTCAGAATTATTTATTACTTAAAATCTCTCCGATTTATGATAAACACACTTTATCACAATGTATGTTTGTATCGCCACTCTTTCGTTAATCTACTTACTGTTGCAATATGATAAGGATTTAGTTCTTGGCATTTATGCTGCAACCGCTTCACTAGATTAGAATTTACCTCCTGTAACCAACTTAAAATCAAGCACTTGCTATTTTGTAAAGTAGCTGTGAGGCTTTACGGCCTTTATAGTCATTTAAACTGCTTCCTCTAAACGGAACTCTACTCTCTTGTCCAAGACATCCCTTCTCCCTGGCCACAACTAAGTTAGATCAAACTTTCTATCTTGGCCTGGGGGTAGTAGCTTAGTGATGGAATGCTTACCTGGCACACACGAAGCGAAGCCCTGCGTTCACCTCCAGCACTACCAAAAATAGGTCCCACCTTGGCCTTGACTTCTCAAGGACACACAGCTAACTCAGGAAACTCCACTTCTGTGCTCATCCTTCTCACTCTCCTGACACAGTGGGAAGAACGCACTACCATCACCTGGCGTAATGTACCCTTCCAAACGCGCCACAATCCTCAGCCACTCCTCAGTCCCCTTAAGGGACCGGCTGTGCTCCTGCACATCTCTCCATCTCCAGCGCTAACACGGAGCACTGCCTGGCTCAATGCACACAGTGAGTGCGTGAAAGATGAACACACAAGCCTGGGATGCCCATGGAACAGAGATGACCGCTCTCTTTAACCTCTCACGGGGTACACCGTATAAAGGACTCGAATGACATGCTGCATGAATCAGTGAAAGGCTGCTCTCTTAAAGTGTCCTACACTGTTTGCCCAAGAAATGGAGGTGGAGAGGATGAGTAAAAGGGTGCCCTTCTGTCTCACTCACCAAAGAGATTAGGAGCTCAGTAAATATTTGTACAACAAATAAATGAATGACAGGCTCTATGCCTGACGGCCAATCAAGTCCAAATCTCTAGATACTGTACAGAACCTCCCAAGCCTGCTGAAATATATTTGCACCTTACCTCCTGGACCATCGGAACTTTGGCTTGAAACTGTGTATTTCATTCCTTGGCAAATAAACAGTGGTACATTCCATAAGTAAACCCTATACTGAAGTTTCACTGTTACATTGTGTGTATGTATTCAGATACTATACTGGCTATCCAGAATAGGCCAAGAATTTAAGCAGATTCCCACCCCACAGACAAGTAGTGAGCACTGGTGTGGCCGGACCATTGTCACAGACTACAGAATACGCAGGAACTTAAGAACTATAACGGATGGAGCTCAGTGGCCCTGTACCTGCCTGGCAATCACAAGGTCCTGAGTTCGATTCCCCATGCCAAAAAAAACAAACAAACAAAAAACCAAAAGTATACCAACTTTGGGGCATGGCCTGCAGTCTTCATGTACTATACAAACATCATCGGAGATAAAGCGTTAGGGTAACTAATGGAGTTTCTCACCAAGAATCCTTTTCACTTTATCGCTAATGTTTGAAAATCAGCACAGTACCTGCTTAGGTACCCATAACCTGTACTGGCATCCTGCTAGCAAAGGACAAAGGAACCAGAAGGGACACCAGGAGCCACCGGGTCCTCAGCGCGGACACAGCCGCACACAATGTGTATCTCCATAATTACTGAAAGAATGGCAAATGTGGCCTACAAAGAAAGACCGCACAGTTTAGAGGCCTTCGATCTAGGAAAAAAGTGACTTCTATGCAGTATATAAAAGTTAATTCTCCAACGTTCTCAATACTAAAATTTTAGCATATTTAAATAATAATCAGCTTAAAATGAAGCAATTTTTAAAAGCATGGATGTGTTAAGACAACAGAGTTCTGATTTAATAGTTAAACTTGGCTTACTGAACTGGAAAAGTCTTCCTACAAAGGGGAAAATTTTACCTTTTGTAAATATCAGTGTAAGGCATGCATCTTAACCAAGAAAACAGCTCTTAAGGAGCAAAATAAGTTACTTTTTATGTATAAGCACAAATAAACATTAAATACATAAATGGATATACAGTGTATCTATGCAGTAGTAAAATTTCATTTGGCAATTGGGGGGAGCCTAAAAATTTATATGTGGGAAGGGTAATAATGGACAACAGATTGAGAAAAACAGGTATAAAAATATAATAGTTAAAGCTAAGGGAAGAGAAGAGCGCAGTGATGCCGACAGCACCCCCCCCAGTATTCATTCACATTTCTGCCCAAGTTCACAACCAGCTGCCTTGAAGACAGAAGAAGGCTTCACAGTGAAGGAGATTCTCTAAATAGTTGGTGAAGGACAGGAAGAAGTTTGTTGAGAAAAGAGAGCCTTTTGCTCTCATGTATTCCTAGCCCCCGAGACCAGTGACAGGCACACAGCAATGTTAGTGAAACTGACAGAAGAAATCAATAGTTGGTTTAGATGGTAAGAGCACTATTATCTTCTCCTTCACCCTCAGATGTC